GAATGACGAAGCTGGAAGCGCAGCCTGATTACATCAAAGGCGGCGAGCTGCGCTCTTTTCAACTGAGGGGCTTGAATTTCCTCTGCCTCAACTGGACCCGCGCCAACAACGTCATCCTCGCCGATGAAATGGGTCTTGGAAAGACCGTTCAAAGTGTCTCTTTCCTCAGCTGGCTCCGCAATGAACGGGAGCAAGAGGGCCCATTCCTGATTGTTGCTCCCCTCAGTGTCATTCCAGCATGGGGAGATACCTTCGACAATTGGTCTCCAGACATGAACTATGTCGTGTATCTCGGAAACGAGACTGCTCGCAATACCATTCGTGAAAACGAACTCATCGTCAACGGCAACCCTAAAAAGCCCAAGTTCAACGCTCTGATTACCTCCTACGAGATGATTCTCCAAGACTGGCAATTCCTCTCGACAATCAAATGGCAGGCCCTCCTCGTCGATGAAGCTCACCGTCTGAAGAACAAGGAATCGCAGTTGTATCAAAGACTTGTGAGCTTCGGAATTCCTTGCAAAATCTTGATCACCGGCACACCCATTCAAAACAATCTGGCTGAACTTTCGGCACTCATGGACTTCTTGAACCCTGGCAAAGTCATCATTGACGAGGAGCTCGAGAGCTTAGCAGGAAATGACGCACAGGAGAAGCTGCAAGATTTGCATAAATCCATCGCTCCTTACATCCTCCGCCGTACCAAAGAGACTGTCGAATCAGACTTGCCGCCGAAGACTGAAAAGATTATTCGCGTTGAGCTTTCCGATGTCCAGCTGGAGTACTACAAGAACATCTTGACCCGAAACTATGCTGCTCTCTCCGACGCGACCGGCCAGAAGAACTCGTTATTGAATATCATGATGGAGTTGAAAAAAGTCAGCAACCATCCGTACATGTTTGCCGGTGCCGAAGACAGAGTGCTGGCCGGCAGTACCCGTCGTGAAGACCAGATCAAGGGTTTGATTGCCAGCAGTGGAAAGATGATGCTTCTCGACCAGCTGTTGACAAAGCTCAGGAAGGACGGCCACCGAGTCCTGATCTTCAGTCAGATGGTTAAAATGCTGGATATCCTGAGCGACTACATGGTCTTGAGAGGGTATAAATTTCAGCGTCTTGATGGAACCATTGCCGCAGGCCCCAGGCGCCTGGCGATCAATCACTTCAACGCCGAGGACAGCGAGGATTTCTGCTTCCTCTTATCTACCAGAGCTGGTGGTCTCGGTATCAACCTGATGACTGCAGACACCGTCGTCATCTTCGACTCTGACTGGAACCCGCAAGCTGATCTGCAAGCGATGGGCCGTGCTCACCGAATTGGCCAAAAGAAACCAGTCAGCATCTACCGCCTTGTGTCAAAAGAAACTGTCGAGGAAGAAGTCCTTGAGCGAGCCCGCAACAAGCTACTTCTTGAATATCTCACTATTCAGGCTGGCGTCACCGATGATGGAAAAGCTTTCCGCGACGAGATGAACAAGAAAGGCATTAGGGTCGACGGCCCCAATTCTGCGGAAGATATTCAATGGATCCTCAAGATGCGCTCTCAGAAGATGTTCGAGCAGACCGGAAACCAGGAACGACTTGAACAGCTGGACATTGACTCCATCTTGGAGAACGCTGAAGTCACTAAGACCAAGGTTGACGACAAGATGAACCTGAGCAGCGGTGGCATCGACTGGGACAATTTCATGCAGTACACTGACGTAAAGGTGGACGATCTCACACTGGACTGGGACCAGATTATTCCTGCAGAGGAACTTGCCGTCATCAAAGCTGAGGAGGACCATCGGAAGAATGAGGAGTATCTCGCAAAGGTCGCTGCTGAGAGTGCACCACGGAGGGCTACGATCAAAAACCGGCATGGAGGCGAGACGGACCGGTCGGACCGCCTCGCAAAGAAGCGCCAGAGAGAAGAACAACAACGGCAGGAGGCCGAAGAGCAACGTGCTTTACTGTCAGACCCGAAGCGGCCACTCAATGAAAAGGAAACCCGCAATCTTCTCAAGGCCTTCTTTCGGTACGGCTCAATGGAAGACCGCGGCGATGAGATCATTCAAGAAGCAAGACTTGGAGGTCGTGACCGCGACTTCCTCAAATCCATCCTGGATGACTTCACCAAGAGATGTGGCGACGCACTCGACGAGAACAGCGCACGCCTAATGGATGACGAAAGGAAGCTCGGGAAGTCCCTGACCAAGAAGGACAAAAAGGCAGTTTTGGTGGACTTCGGCGAAGTTCGCAAGATGAACGCCGAAACCGCAATAGAGCGGCCGCAGCAACTTCGTCTTCTTCGTCAAATCTTGCAGAAGAATGATGACTTCAAGACTTTTCGCCTCGCCGACGCGACTAAGGCTGCCCATTACACTTGCGAGTGGGGCGCACGAGAGGATGGCATGCTGCTTGTTGGCATTGACCGGTATGGTTTTGGCGCGTGGACGCAGATCCGAGACGACCCTCAGCTGGACATGGGGGACAAGTTCTTCCTCGAAGAACACCGTATAGAGAAGAAGGAAGAGCGGAACAAGGCCTCCGACAAGGGCGTCAGCTCCCCTGGTGCTGTTCATCTGGTGCGCCGTTCGGAGTACCTGCTCTCTGTGCTCCAGGCCAAGCATTCTACAGACCCACTGGCCCACCGAACTGTCGAAAATCACCATCGCAATAACAAGCGATTGACAAACGGGCACCGTCGCAGTGACGTGGGTAGCGCCGCCGCGTCCCCTGCACCACCGGCTTTAAAGAAGAGCAGCTCTTACAGGGATCGAGAACGCAGCCACGGCGAGCACCACCGCAGCCGCAGCAATGCCGAAGAGCGAGGAACGCCGCGACCTGATTCAAAGCGGAAGCACTCCGGGCATGATGAAGGCCGCATTCCCAAGCATCGGAGAATGGACGAGACTCGCCGTACTAAGAATAATGGCGATGAGCAACAATCTCCGAGGGCCGATCAGCGCAGACACCGTGATGATGGTGAACGCAGCCAAAAGATTCGCCGACCTGACGACAACCGGCATGGCGATGACCGCCGCCGTTCGAGCAACACCCCAAGAACTAATCAGCCCGACAGCGATCGCCGTAACCAGGCCCTGCGTCGGTTGGACCAGCTGCGCAGGATGGGAGACAACAAGGAGGAGCGGGAGACGGATGCAGATGCCATGCTATGGTATCTGCTTAAGCCAGTTCGTGCAAACTTTGAGGCTATCCTGTGTACGACAAAGGAAAGAGTCAAGTCTAGCAAGGAGCGGGCCAAGATTTTCGGCGAAGAGTTGATTGTCATTGGCAATTTTTTGGATCGCGAATTCGTCAAGGAACGCGATGACTCGCTGAAGAACCGCTTCTGGTATGAGACATCGACACGATGCTTTTCAAGTCACTGCATACTAACAGAATCATAGGGAATTCTTGGCGAATCTCTGGCCTGTCGACAGCACTAGCAATGAGGTTACAGGCGACCGACTGAGCGCCATGTATAGAGTCCTGCGGGACAGAGAAGCGAAGAAGCAAAACGGAGACAAGCCAGTTGCCGTGGCGGCGAATGGCACGGCTGCCGCCTCCTAGGTGCAAGATCTCGCATGATAACAACACAGAAAAGCGGATGGCATTTCCTTCTGCAGAGTTTCGATCAAGTCATGATTCGTGTTTATTTCAGCATTGGCCCGGCGTTTCGGTACTTAGGGAGGAAGGCATCTTTGTCGAGGCGAGGGAATGATAAACTACAACATACCCGGACTTGCATGGTACAGGACGACCCGTTTTGGAGTTTTGCGAAAGCATCGTGTCTTTTCTCCTGCTCTTTGGTCTCATAGGGGGCAGACGAAGAAAGGCACATCTACCGTGTGGACTAGGTGACAACGTTGATTCGCGGAAGAAGCATCATAGGCGTCGAGGTCGCGGTCACATGACGTTGGCCTTGTCTCTGCTCGGTGAGCAGCCTTGTCAGCCGTGTTCGACTGGACGTGGACTCGCGTGCCCACATGGCTCGGCTTCTTGTCGGTTGGGCCCAGAGCGGAACTCGCCGTGAGTCACGCTGGACCTGTCGAGCCCATGGAAAGAGCATATGTCCTCATTATTAGAGTATTTACAAGCAGCGAGGGGAGTCAGAGAGCACAAAAATAAGGGACCTGCATGTGTTTAGGTATCTTGACGGCCTGAAGAGCCCTGATTCGTGAACAAGATGGGGTGTGCGCGGACCCCTACGACGGGGTTGGCGGTGGAAAAGACGCCCCGCGATCGCGCAGAGCCCCCACGAAGAGATGGCGGAATACTCCGCCTTACAAATCTATTTAATACTTCTCGTTGAATCTGTATTGCGAATGTGAACGTGAGAAAATGGCCATGTTCGTCTGTCGTCGGATGAAGGAACGGAAGAACAACGCAATCGGGAGAGTCGCTGATGTTGTCAGGGACCACCTGAGGCCGACATCCGCAGAACGCGCAAAGAAAGACCTATAGGCGTATGTAGCGTACCGCACGCCCCGGCCATCTTCGACAACGACGAGCCCTTGTTGCTGGGCAGTATCTCCATCTCCGTGCTGTGTGACCATTGGGAACCCAACAAAACCAGACTGCATATGAATTAACTCGGAAAAGCGCCCAAAGGCCAGGTGCATATCAAGTGATATATTAACGATATCGCCTCGCAGCCGGAGACTCAACGCCTTCTATTCCGTTATTTTGGTCCATGCTCTCTGCGCCTCTTTGTACGTCGGTGGGGTTATGAGAGCCCGCCTGAGAAAGCCTCCGCCTGTCCTACCCAGATCATAATGGCTCGTACCTCAACTGCAGGAGCGCCTTTGTACAAGGAGTCGACGTTATGTACATAGTTAGAAAACGGCGTAATAATGATCCAGGCCAACTCCTCTCATAAAAATAACAGCATCCCAATGATCGTTGGTTGCGGCCCGAACGCTTCGGTACCAGCATGACGAATCCGTCCTCTATGCATAAAATGTAAATAAATATCAATGTTGGCTGCACCTATAAGGTGGGCGTTGTTTTCGTATTCAGTCCATCAGCTGCTCCATCCCCCTAGGAATAGACTGAGGCGAAATGGTCTCGGATTTACGTCGCTCATGCATGGGGGTTGCCGGCCGCATGTCGCTCTGCATACCTTCCAGCGTGCTGCTGGTGGCAGGCGATGACTTCGGACGCTCTGTCAAGGCGGGCCGTGTGATGTTCTCAAATGACTTTGATGACGGTGTCTTGTCATCGTGAGCAGATTCCGCTGCTGGCTTTTGAGGGTAGTAAATGTTCCTGGCTGGCTTCTGGGCTTCGGGTCGCAGAGGTGGCAGCAGAGAAGCAAGCTTGTCCTCTGCAAATTTGTAATGCTGATTGTCCAGTTTGCCGGCGAGTGTCTCTTGAGGCATATCGGCAAGTTCGCGATTCTTCTGAGTCTTGAAGGTCTGACTGAGCGCATTCTTGGGCGGCTCGTTAGATTTCTTGCCGTTGGATTTGCGAGGTTTTTTGACCGTTGTCTTCTTGACCTTCTTGGCTGACACATCGGTGTCTGATGCGACTTGATGGCCACCGAACGAGAGCTTGCTCTGTTTTGACTTGGGTCCTTTCTTCCCAGTCTCGGCTGCCTTGATTCTAGGACTGGCTGTTGGAGTAGGAATACTCTGGATGGGGTCAACAAGCTTGCGCTTCTTGTTTTCGGTTGCAGATCCAGAGTCGGATTTGGTGGGCGACCCGGGGAGAGTTACCAGCAAGTTGTCTCTCAACAGCCTAGCCCGACGTTGCTGCTCATCCTCCTCACTAAGGTAAGGGCTATCCCCGCTCTGAGGCTCATCGAACCGTGGCAAGCTGACCCAATGAGCGACATCGTCGCACTTTCCTCGGACAACCAGGTCCCAGCAGTCCTTGAAATCGTTGTGTTGAGGTTCCGAGTCGGTGTTGATCCATGCGGTAAACCCATCCCTGCGGCTGCGGGTCACCTGACACAGCTCCTTGACGAGTCGTCTGACGCCAGGGATTTTCAGGCTAGTGCCGACAACAATCACGGCATCTGGACGCGACTTGAGGTCGACGCTGGAAACCTTTCCAATGGCCTCTTCATCAGGATTAAACTCGTTATAGAGTACCATTCTGGGTCGCAAGCGACCGATGCCGTGGCTCCTCCTCTGCTCATACTGAGTTCGGAGTGTGTCAATCATAACACACTCCTCGCATAGTGGAGCCTCGTGACCCACGAAAAGCTCTGTTTTCAAAGGCTTGATGTCGGCGCATTTGGAGCATACCATATGTTCAACGCTGCCGTGCAGTTGAATGGTCGTTGGCCAGGGTCCCTTCGTGTTGAGAGGAACAGCCGTCTTCAAAGGCTCCATGCTGGTATCGATGCAGTCGACATTCTGGCTGTAGAGTCGTAATAATCGTTTTTCGTGGGCAAGTGAGGCTAGTAGGTGATGGAAGGGCGTCGGCTCGGCGGCCTTGACCATGTTGGACAGATCGCAAATCATCTTGTGGAACTTTTCGGTGGAGGAGTCGTGTTTGTAGACAGACGCGTCGAAAAGATGCTTGCCGGACCCCTTCATTTTGTGATCGTTGGGCAAAGTTGCGAAAAGACCCTTCTTGGACCGGAAATCGGGGATGCCTGCGGACACGGAAATTCCAGCACCGGCGATGACGACAATCTTCTTCCTCTTCTTCAAGGCGGAGACCAGGCGGGCCAATTTCTCGTCATTCTCGCTGCAGCTCTCCAAGTCAAGATGCTCGGTAGTGCGCTCTTTGGGAGGTGTGATCTTGCGACGCTTTCGGGGAGGCTGGCCTTCGTTGGCGTCGCTCGAGTTCACGTTAATGGAGTCGGAAGGGTCATCGAGCTTGATGGCGGGGACGGATTCATCGGCGGTCTCTAGCTTGACTGGTGACTGAGCACCCGAAGGCATGGAGGAGGTCGGGGAAGGGTAACGTTTTGACGCGTCGAGATCGGCTTCAGGGGATGACGGTATTGAGGGCGACTTTGAGAGAAGCGACAGGGGCGATGAAAGGGGCGAGTCGGAGGGAGATGAGGTGTTTTGATGCGCGTCGACACCCATATTTGAAGGGGAGGAAGGTGCGTCCATTTCGGTGTCGGTGTGGGTATCGGTGGCCGGAGACAAGGGATTGGAGGAGAGAAGACGGTTGATAAAATCAAAGAAAGTCATGAGCAAAAATGTTCTATACCATGGCGATTGTAAAGGTGTATGCTGGTTGAATAGTCCTTTCTCCAAGGTAGGGTTGAAAGGGTTTTCGCTGTCCACGGGAGATGAGAAGTGTCGTTGAAGAAAGACAAGGTGTGGAGAGAGGATCCGGGCGAGGGTACCTTAACAAGTACCTGTCCGTACAACCTGTACGCAGACGTACATGGATGGGGCACGGAGGGAGAAGGGGGGGTGGAGGGGGGAGAAGGGAAGGAAGGGGCCTTTGGGACCTGGGCAGCGGCGGCGGGAATGAGAGCGGCTGATGACTTGGAACCTTGGGCAGGGCAGATAAAGTAGGGCAAGCAGCGCAGCGAGGTGCCGTCAATAACAACAAGCTTGTTGGGTGCGATGGGTACTGAGTAAGGTGGCCGGCCAGTAAGCTAGGAAGAGCCGGAAAGAGAGAGAAAGAGAGACAGAGAGGGCAGAGCAGATGTGAGGGCAGTGACGGTGAGGCAGAGTGTGGAGGAAAAGGGGGGTGTTGGAGGGTCGAGCCCGACCATCAGAATGACTGTCAGATTCAGATCACACAAGCAATCAGAAAGGCAAAGGGAAAAGCAAAAGTCGAGAGGAACGAGGAACGAGGAACAAGAGCCGGCGACGGCGCCGTAGCAGATGGGGATGCGGGCGGGCAAGAGTACCCGTCCGGTGGCTAGTGCGCGTTGGCGGTTCTGGCTGGGTTCGGTGCCACGCTTCTTCTTGTTCGCGCACGCTCCCACTACAGTCTGCGGCACGTTAGCTAGGTGCCTCTTGTTTTGGTTCCGGCCTCCAGCGAGAGTGTCGCTTAGTTTCCCATTGGTTCTCGCGTCTGATGTTGGAGGTGGGAAGAAAGAAAATAAAAACGCTGAGGAAAAAAGATCTAACAGCGACTCCACTTTCCGGTCGTTGGTTCGTGGTACCGTTCTGCGTCAATCTGCAGAAGAGATACATCGCCTGTGCTAACTCCCAACCGCCCCTCCCCTCTTGTTATTGAGCCGTTCCCCTCTTCCCTCAACTGCTATACCTACACTTACTTCGTTTTGTTCATTGGGAATCATGCGACATCCGGCTGCTGACGAGCAACCCCGCTGCTTAGGTATTTCTAGCTGCTGGTCGAAAATGACTCGATCCCGCACTCGACCGTTCTCCTACATCTTCTCTCTCAACCGGCCATGTATGGGGCCGTCACAAGTGGCCTGTCGATCCAGCGGTGAGATGCAGCTGGCTATTCCAGTGCACAACAGCCCAGGTCTAACAAGTCCCTTTCAGCCTCCGTGTGTGTGAAAAGTAGCTATATGCGCGGACGTGATCTCTCAATTTTTCAACTCCGTCAATTGGACGCAAATGCCAGGGCAAACAATGCTCGCGTGCAAAGTCGCGCAGAACATAGTTGGCCAACACTACGTCATCCATTCATGGGCTGAAGATGAGATTTGCCAACATGCTTCAGTCTATTGAGTGCATGGTATGAAGACTCTTTCCATGTCTCTTGATGGCCCTAGGTAAGATATGACCATGCACAGAGCACTATCGTCCTTCAACCGTCATCACACAATGCAAGCGGCGGCCATGGTCGGCTGAAACGCGGCCGAGTCGCGGGCGCCAGGAAAAGCGACAACACATTGTGAGGTACCGGTTCAGACTGCGGTGGTGTTCGTAGGTACCTTTTAGTGTCTAAGTAGGTACTTTACCGCAGCCCACAGGGCCACAAGGCAGGCGAACCGGAGCCTGGAGGGAACTGTGAGTGGACGCCCGTTGCTCGGAAACATTGCTCGCCCCCGTGTCCACGTCTGTCCGTCTGCCCTTCCCTGTCACAATCGATTGGGGGCCCGGCCCTTTCCTGCAGGGATCATCGGACGGACGTCACGGGTCGCTGTTTCCCCACGGCGTTGAGATTGTGTGGACTGCCGCAATGCACATCACTCAGGGCGCACCGCACCTCAAATCTTACCTTAGAAAGTAGACTTCAGCCTCACTGTGGCTGACATCTATGTGGCTCAACCAGACATGTGGCAGGCTGAGGTAAGCTTTCAATCCCGTGGGAAGCAAGACGCGTCTCCACTCTACCATCCTGAGAATTTGAGGCTGAGGTAAGGATCCGCTGGCGTACCTTCCACCCAGCAGCCAAGGTCCTCTGCACTGTAGAGGGTCCAGCGTGTGTTCATGTCAATCGTTACGCCCATTGGTTCCAACAAATCACTGATTGTCGACTCGACCTACCAACGTGCCAACCTACCTTACCTATCCAATTCGAAGCCACCTCACACTACGACGACATCCAGCCTGCCTGTCCATACTTTCCGGGCAGCATTTTCGGTTCCAGTCCAACTGGTAGGGTGAACTTCCTATCACTCAACTGCTCCGGAAGATGACCTCCAGCCGGCTTGTAAAGTCGTCGCCCTGAACTCAACCCTACAGCCTTACTGAGACGAATCTTAGTGGTTGACGACGTTGGATTTTTGGATTGGATACGCACAAGCATTCGTAAACGTCAACATTGGGACTAAAGGCCCTCATGACTGAAGCAAAGATGCCTCTTATGCTGGACAATGCCATGAACGGTGGTCCCATGCAAGTTGATCAGCTCGACGTCGATGACCTGTTCGGTGACGGGGTCGGCGTCGGCGTTGGCGTAGGAGTTGGCGTTGGCGTTGGCCTGTCTCTCCAAACCGCCCGCCCCCCCTCCAAGCAGCTGCGCCAGAGGATAGATGAACTGCGAACTCGTGGCTGTTGCCAGTGAGCACCCTCTTAGACACACGTTCGTAACAACTATGAGCCTTGTACTTACTGAAATACTAGGGGAGTAGCCTGGTCGAGATCTGGCGCCATCGCCTCCGTCTCTCCAGATGGCAGGTCGCTGGAAACCAGGTTTCTGCGTTCTCACCCCGACAATGGCGAATGGGGCCTCAGCGAGCCCACAAAGGTTGAACTCGTCAGCACGAATCCATCGAGCCCTATTGTTCATCTTGCTTGGGCGTCGACCGCGAGCCCCGAGCTGGCTGTCATCGACGCAGCAGGGCGGGTTTCAATACTGACCTACTCCATCAACCTAAACCGACCCTTTGCCACTCGGAAATGGGACCACGAGCCATGCGACGACCTTCACGCTGTCGTTGGTTGTTACTGGCTTGCCTTGGCCCCTCAAAGCAAGCAGGTTAGTAGTTCGAAGCATCATCTTTTCCCTCGCTAACGTCCTGCTCATGCTCAGTACTACGTGTGTCATGGACCAGCCGTCAAGGATGGAAATCAGTATCGATACGAGAGCTCTTTCGTCCATGCGTATGGCCCTTGGCACCCCAATCAGTCAAAGAGTGCTTTGCTGTGCGTCACAGCAAACGGTGATTTGAAGATGTTCTGGGCCCAGAACAACAACAAGATTGAAGAGACAACCTTGGAGCTCGAGAGCATCAACTCATCTGACGACTTGATCACACATGCCGCCCTTCACAGCGACAAGAGTGAGTAACTCGGCATCATAACCACCGCAGTCGTTAACGTTTTATGCAGGCTCATTGTGGGTGGTTCTGGCTACTGCATCCAAGCAACTGAAAGTTGTGAGGGTGGGCATACACTGGGGTCTACCGCAGTCACAATCAGACAACAAGCCACCCCCAGGGAGCCAGCCGCTGAACCCGACAATGCAAGAAAAGCACGTCGCCATCTCCAGCTGGTCGCCTGGCGGATCAAGTACGTCGCCGATTGACTCCGCCATGACACAGTTAACACACCTGGAGATCTTGCCATCGACTATGGATTTGACTGGCCAGGGATGGGCTCCTCTTGTCATCCTCGCTGTCCGCACTTACCTGCCAACCCCGAATACCCCGTACCAAGAAACACAGAGCATCATTGACAAATGGGAGGTCATCAACGACCAACCCCAAAGTCTGCATCCTGCCTTTGAGCAGCTGGGAAACCGGAGAAATAGCACGGGCTCAGCGCCCACAGTAAGCATAGAGCCATGCACGAAAAGTGACTAATGCTAAATCCTGGCACAGCCCAAGCCCACATCTCGCCTCAAGAAATACGACCCCGTGGTAATTAACAAAGCAATCATCGGTGTCCATAGTCTACAATACGGCAGAGTCGTCTGTCTGGCGTTTAGTGACGGCTCTGTGGAGTACCGCGACCGCTTCACATTACAGGAAATCTACAACGAAATGAACCTGGAGCGCATCATGTCTCTCAACCAAGTCGGCTTCACTTTCCAGGATGATTCCCCTTGTGAGCCCAGACTCTGTTTCCTATTTGCAACCTCGGCTTACACAACCCTACAGGTCTACAAGCAGCCCTGTCCCCAACCAACTGTTCCCTGGTCAAGATACAGGACGACGGGAAAGTGAAATGGACAAGATTGCACTATCCATTGGGGGATATCGGAAACTCCAACCAAGAGGGTAATGATATCTAGCAATTGATATTGTCATTGTAGCCCTGACTGATGTATGACAGCCCAATACTCCGCAGTGCTGGCGGGCCTGACAGTAGCTGCGTCAACAGCGACTTTCAACAGTATCAACTACGACGATATCCTAGCCGTTGCAAGGCCATATGCAGACAAGAAGCGTGCGTGTGCCTTTCCTCCTTTCTCCTGCTGAGCCATCTGACTTGAACAGGCTTCACCTTCGACTGGATGAACGAGATTGTTCGCATGCTCAAGATTCCCGTGGATTACTCTGAAGACACTCATCACGATAGTCTCGTCCGGAACAGCTCACTTCAAATGTGTCTGAGCATTCTCAACCACTTGGGATACAAGGGAATGTTCCAGCCACGCTCCTTTGGCAGCAAATTTGCGATGCTAGCTCTCAACGCGCGCAATGTCGTCATCCTCATCACAATCGCCAGTAACACACCGGTCAACATCCGCGAGAAGCTTAGCCCCTTGGACGAGCACGAAGTCGTTGATGCCCTCTCGGGATGCGCGAAGTGGTCTCTCGACCTGCTCTCGTGGCTCACTGATTCTCTTTTCGCCCTTCTGGACGATCCGCAGTTCCTCGCTCTCCTCACCCCACAGCGTTTCTCAGAGATGAGCGCCTACCTACAGTCCCGCTCTGACGTTTCGCTCCATCTCCTCCTCTGCTCTTCTACCCGTGGCTTCCTCTCTGCCGTTTGCCGCCGCATACTTCACCTCGAGATCCTCTCCAACAGAGCCATCGAGTTCTACGAGCGTCGAGCTGCGATTTCAAACGCCAACGACCCCAACGCCGCGACATCCAAGAACCTCCACACGGTCCTTTACAAGGCATACCAAAAGATGCAGCGCGTTACATCAAGTAGCCTCATAAAAGTACAAGAGTTCGACCGCCTCCTCACCGTGCTCAATAACGATATCCGCTCGGCCTATCAGACGTCTCTCGCGGCATTAGCGAACAAGAACCCCGCCGGCGCTCAGGGGAACCCAAAAGCCATCGAGCAACAGATCAAGGGCGCCCAGTTCCACTGCGAGCTCAACATGCTTCTAGCCTCCTCTCCACCCCCATCGTTCCTCCAAGTCCTTCTCAAGTTTTTCAACACAGACCTCAAGAACTACCGCGCACAGACCGACCCGTCCAAGCTCTTCTTTGCAGACTTTGACCTCCTCGAGATTGACGACGACCGCCGCTCTTTGTCAGCCAGGAGGGCGCGGGGCCAGTACATCGACGCGTTCAAGCGCGTCGAGCTGGTCGGTCCGCCGGTCAGAGGCGCCAAGGAGCTCGAGGAGGCGAAGACGCCGCAGTGGAGGCGTTGTGTACGGTGCGCTGCTATTATGGAAGATGCCTCTGGCTCGAGACCCGGCTTCACGTTCGTCCTGGCGCAGCAGCGGAAGTGCTCTTGTGGTGGACACTGGGCATTGCTCCCGCGAGGGGCTTTGATTAGCTAAGTTGGAGGAAGGGTTGTCAATGTGGTTGGTTCTACCTGTTTGGCAGGCTCTCTGTCGGCAGGTGTCTGATCGCAGTCATTTGGAGCCGGAGTGTCTAAGAGATAATACAGTCAGCGAGGGGTAGCCTAGGTTTACTCAATGTACTAGATAGATTCTTTACTTGTCGGGCTCACGAGAGGTGATTTTCGTCATGGCCGTCATACATCGTTCCATCTGCCTACGGAAGACACTGCGCCAGAGGACCGCTTGTCAATGCTGAACACAGCCGACCACGGGCAAATAATGCGAACATCACCGTGCAAGACTGACATCGCGACGATCGGCAACTTTTGCTAGCCTCGGTAGAGATGGAGCTGAGCAACAGAATGTATAACCCATTATTTCAAGCCGGACGCTTCACCCTTCCGCAATGATGGGGTTTTCTCCAATGCGCCCCAGATACATGTGCACAAATATATAGGAGAAGGTAAGGGTCTCCTACCCAAACTGATATAGTACAGTTGGTGGAGAGAATGATACATATCGTCTGGCATTATGGCTCAGCTCGATTATGATTGCGTAGCTGCAACTTGACTTCGTTACTCGCCAGTCATACTTTTGGCAAACGGGTAGCCATAAAGGGGTGAAATGAACCATGTCACAAACCACAATGCAGAGTAGAGAAGAAGCTTAGATTCAGGGCCGGAATGTTCTATCGTCTACGCAATCCTGCTAGCTCTCACCTGTAAGCACAATTACGCGGCTTTCTCCCGCGCTTCCGCGTGAAATGCGGTTGATGCAGGCGACATGGACGAGAACGTTTCAACAGAACCCCTTGTTAGTAGTATCGTAAGCACCGAGATAACTCGCTCACCGTCCGAGGTTGGCCACCAAGCTTCGTCGGCGGGACAAGGCTAGATTCGACACTGCTTGCGAAGCATTTGCTGGGGGGTTATAACGCGCGCGTTCGAGCTAGCTGCAAGGGCCAGACTGATGGAAGTCTGCAAGACTCCATCGGGCCTAGCCGACACCGAGGTGCCGTTCAGCAGCGGCTCATCGAGCAGGCAAGGTAGCTGCCGAAGCCCAGATCCAACACTGCTGTCGATGATGGAGGTTTACCCATTTCCAACCATTTCCAAGACTTGCTCTGAGATTCAGGGGCGGCATGACTGGGGCCTACCCGCCTTCTGTTTGAGGAAGTATTCAAGACTTTGTGGCTCTCATGTCCCAATCTAACGTTCTGGCCGTACCCGCACAACGGTGGCAGTGACGAGCTGCATGTAAACCGGTAATAGTAATGCCATCTCGAGAAGTGGCTGGTTATTTGGCGTATCTTCAGGAATTCTCAAATTTTGGTGCTTGTAGATGCGGCCATCTAGCGCTTCTCTCAGTAAAACCATCTTCAGATTACAACCAGTTTATGAGGGACAGTCGTCGACAACCAGACACGCAAACACTTCGTGTGTCCCCGTAACTTATATCGTAGCTGACGAGATGGTCAAGGGCTGGCTCGCGTGGAAGCAGAGGGGTGTTGATATGGCCAAGCACCTGGGGAGGCGGAGTCGCGAGCATTTCCTGGCGCGGATCATAGGCCGCGGTGGAATGACGTGACGGCAGGCTCGGAGATGGTTCCTGGAGGTAGGATTCGGCCCCCTTAACTCTGGGGAGATAAACACCCTTGGAGATGACTGTATGACGAGAAAGTGTGAGAAATTCCATGATCTGACAAGGGGGCCGTTCGATCTCCCCTGCCGACAGATGTTAGTGATGGCTCACGCCAGTCTTTTATCAACCCTTCTGCAGTGGCAGATCAAAGTTAGCCGTGGGGGATGGTCAAGCCCAACATGCGCACGGCCTCTGAGCTGACTGTGGCAGCACTTGCGAAGAGTAGTAGCCAATATTGCGCTATCCATGGCCCCCATACGTAGTACATATCGTATGCCAGGCACAGCGCGACGCTAGTTGGCTGGGTCAACAGGCGCCTACGACAACGAGGGCAAGGAACCACTCAAGATGCCTGTTCTGGAAAAAGAGTGGCCAGCACTGATGCCAGTAGGAGGAGAGCAGGACAAAAGTCCGGGAGGCTTGGTGCAGCCGGCGGTCCTTGAGTCCGGGTGGGACAGGTGGTAGGGCGGGTTGATATCCCTGCAGGCCGAGATGAAGCACTGGTGATTTCGGTGAGATGGATAATCAACACAGGGCGCTGCTGGCGCCGGAGCATTTCTGTTTCAAGCAAACCTACCTCTGGCGTAGCATCAGAGAGATTGAGACGCTGGCCGGCGGGCTGGTTTATGTACGGAGACTAATCCGCGTGGAAAAGTCGGTTGATGCCGAGAGATTGTGTTTTTGGTTGTCACACGGCATGAGGTCTGTCTCGTGCGCGGTTCAACGGCGAGAAAGCGCGCTGTTAAAGTCAAGTCCTGCGCGCCTTGATTGGGTGGGTAGGAGAGACAGACTGACGGACATTGTGACTCGCAGCAGCGCAGCAGAAGGAGGAGGAGGAGAAAGACACTGGAGGAAGTGATGTTGAAAGCAGGGGCGGAGTACGCAGTACACTGCATGGATGGGACGTGGATGGGCAGGGGTCCAGGAAAAGCAAAGAAGGTTCGAAGGTGAGTGCCACTGGAAGCTGGCCGGCCCCCACTGGCACGCACCGGGGCACCTGCCGCGTTCTCACCGGAGCGGTATCGTCCAATCAGCCGCGGATGGCTTATCATGACAAAGTGCAGTTACTCGGGCACTTCGGCCGGTGCCCCTACCTTCTTTTGTCGGTCTCCCATCAGGTTGGTAGCGGCGGGAAGGTTGCCTTGTCATCCTTGTCCACTTCCCCAAACCGGCGTTATGGGCTCGATGTCCAGATGGGAAGCTGCAAAGCTAAGAGCTGGGGAGCTTTGCCTCCTTACACTACCTTGGGTGGTTATGGATACTGCTCTCTCTGGTTCTCTGCTTTGGTCTGCTCTGCTCAGTGCCATGTCGAATACGGCAGGCGGACGAGATGAACGGAGATGATGAAGGACTCAGACACTGGGCGAATCATGACAGTGATGAGATTGCTCAAATTCCGCCCGTTTCAGGCAGACACCAGACGACGGCCGACTTTTCCGTATTTCGTCTCAAGAAACATGGTCATACACAACACGGTTCACTTTCCATGCATCTCCTAAAGCCTATTCTTCGTCTCCGTCTGTCCCTGAATAGTGAATACCCATCCCGAACCGAAGCCCTACCCGAAATGTGTCTGTCTCTCGTGCCGATGCCGTCGCGCTCCTCACAGTTGCCGCCATGGCCAGACGAGCGAAACGGTGCCCTCGCAGTGTACTTGGCAAGGAAGTCCATCCGGCTGCAAACAGCGCTTCGCCCGCTGGTGCGTCGTCTCAGGGTTCTAGGAGATGTCGCTGTGCCTCCCCGGATCTGTCCTACTCTGCGCCCGTAGGGACTAAGGAGATGTTCTGGCCATTGTCGTCTTTATTCGGGACTGCAATAACCACATCATACACATGGCGTGTCGGCTACTCGGAGAACAGGAGAAACGGCACGTACAAATCGACAGCTGAGAATATGAGGCATCGACTGTAGGTAGCTTCTCTGACCGTTATCTATGCCGCGCTAGACACCCGGAACCCTTGCTTTTGATAACAGCAGCGGGTGCTTCCCCATTGATTCTCTGCCAGTCAATGGGAATCCGGACCCTTGTAATACAGCAGGGAGGAGGCGTGGTCAAATTAACAATGTACATGCATTTTTCATCCATTGTGACCTGCATTCGAACGAAGGAAGGCCTTGGGCTGATGGAAATTGTTCTCAAGAGCTCTGCATGCCGTCGTCCAACAAGGCCGTTTGATGCCAGGTTGGATCAAGTCAGCAAGATTAGTCTCGGTCTAGAGTCTTGGATGAGATACATACTAACTTTTTTTCTTCTTTTTTTCTTCTTCTTACATACCTAGTTGAATATCTAGTATAGTTAATTATCTAATAAATATACTTAATCTATATATATATCTCTATTTTATTAAAAGTCTCTTAAGATAGAAAATTAAGTTTAAAAAATAAGTAGATACTAGTAATAATAAAGTTTAAAATACTTTTATAATAGTAAGCTTTTCTACTTCTATAATTTCTAAGAAACTATATAAGCTTAAAAAGTTCTTTCTAACTAAATAAGATATCTTTAACTTTATTATCTCTAATACTAACTTTTATAGTAAAACTAATTATTATTATTATATATATATCCTCCCCTAAAAAGAGATTAAAGAACTAATATTATTAGATCTTATTTTAAAAGGTAATTAGAAAGTTACTAGAAATTATTAAAATATTTTAGTTAGATCTATATAATACTATTTAAGTTTAAAATAAGTTCTATATTATATTCTTTAATAGAATTTAATTTAGACTTAATATAATAATAATAATAAAAATATAATTATCTAACTATAAAAAAGTTTACTTCTATATCTTTAGATATAAAATAATAATTAATAATTTAATAATTCCTACTAAAGTAGTATATTAAATATATAAGATTTAAGTAGTACTTTAATATATATTTAAGAATATTAAGTGTCAACATATAACATTCTTTTATAATAATAATAATAATATAAGAATAATAATAACGCTTAACTTACTTTAATATTCTATATAAAATAAACTAATAACATTTAACGTATAAAACCTTATATAAAAATACTCTGTTTATTACAACTTATAACTATAATATTGATTATGTAATACATATAGTTACGTAAGCACCTTATGTAATTAGCAGTTTAGTAGGTTACGTTTCAGATTATCTTTCCCCTCACTTTTGCCTACTAGAGGATGCAACCTGGAAACAACAACAACAAGAGTCATCACAATACATCACTTCCTTTAT